AATATTTTCTAGTTTTCTACGAAAGTATGACGATCGATATTTTAATATATTCGAATGTGCTGTGAATGATTTTTCCTCATTTTTAACTTCAATGATGACATTATAATCGTCTTTATCATCAAGAAGTTCAATAAAGTTTTGAGATAACTTGTCAAAAAATTTTAATGCCATTTTTTTTTTTATTTTATTTATTTTTTTTTTTACAAATTATTGAGTCGATAAAAAGAGGCCAATAAAATAGACTGACAAATTTAAATATATAATAATCGATGTAATACGTTTGTATGACAAAGCACAATGAATTTTCTAAATATTAATTTATGCATCAAACAATAGTACATAAAAAAGAGAATGAATGATCGACTGATAAAGGAGATACGTAAGGTGAAAGATTGGAAATATAGAGGCGATATATAAAATACTAATTAAGTAAATTATTTCTTTAGAGAAATTATCATCTAAAAATAATAGTTAAAATTTAAAGCTTTTTTTTAAAAAAAAAAAAAAATATCAAAAATGATCTTGAGTATCTACTGCTTAAGAATTCAATCTTTTAATTTAAATTTTCGAATTTAAACGAGTATCATTTTCGCAATTTGTATCTGAAATTTTTACAGTAGCTGTATCATATTTCTGACTTTAGGATTACTTAAAATTATTTTTAATATTTTTTTTTACTAAATTAAATAGTTTTATAATGTAATACATAGAAAAGAAACTATTAAATACTATTATTTACAGATAATTTATGCTCTATCATGTATCGAAAGAATCAATTATACTTTGTGGAATATTCATTGTTATTTTTGAATGAAAGTATGATTATTATCCGTTGTTGAGAATAACAGAAATAATAATATAAAAAATAAAAATAAAGAATAGTAAAAAAAAAAGAAAAATGATAAATTTTTTTTATTAATTTAAATATAAATGTATCAAAGTGACCAATCCAATACAAAGCATATTTTCTAATGGCTAAAAAGGAAATTGATGGGCAATAATGATAAAAAACAAATATAATTTATAACAAATGGAATGATGAAAATAAAATAAACTATATTAATTCTATAAATCAAAATTTTTCTAAAAAAAAAAATAATTTCTTAATCTTCAATTATCTAAAATATGTTTTCTGAAATTTTCCACCATTTGAATTATCTAAATCATTAGAATTAATTATCTGTTTAAATCAATTAATGATAATATTAATAATAATAAAGCATAATTAATAACTATTAATTACTGTATCTCAAAACAGTTTCTCTTTTTGTCCTTTTAATACTTTTTGTAACACATACCTCTGTTAATTTGATTTTTCAAGTTGCTTTAAAAATTTAAAGGAAGCCACCTTGCTCAATTTTCTTTAAAAGGAACTCAGTCTAAATATTTTATCATCGTAATTTTTTACCACTGTTTCGTGGTCGAAATAATTTTCATTGTTTCAATTTCTAGTAACTATGTGCGATTTGGTAACCATGAGTTGTTACACCATCACTGCATAAAGTTTGGCACTATTTTTTTCTTAAAATTTAAATCTCTTTGACAAAAAAAAAATGGCAAATAAAATTTCCACTGGATTATTGATTATGATTTTAAATAATGTTCGACCACAAGATTTACACTCATCATCATTAGTTAATCGAAATTGGTGCAAGGTTGCTATACCTATGCTTTGGGAATTACCTTTGGATTACATTTAATACATTATCAGCAATTTTAAATTATTGTACAAAGATTATCTATTTAACTTTACTAAATTTAAGACCTGAACAAGTAATCGCAATATTTAATAATAATAATTTTGGAAGGAAAGGCTTTGATGCTAATAAACCATTATGCAAAATAGTCGAAAGTGTACCGGGATCACTTGAAACTATTGAAATTAGAATGTGAATATTTAGTGCGGATAGTTTAAGAAAATTTTTTGAAGGGTGGTGTTGTAAAGGAAGAGGAGGAAATAAAAAGTTAATGTAAAACGTACAGAACTAGCGCGATTATTTATACTAAGCAATGAACATTTTAAAGTTATTGAAGAATATGGAGTTCAATTTGATATGGAAAGAATGATCATTGAAAATATGTAAAATATTATATATTAAAAATCAACGAGATATGAAATTTAAGTAATTTTTATATATAATAATAATTCTATTGATGAAAAAAATTTATAAAGTAATATTATATGCTAAGTTTTGATATAGTTTTATAAGGTTTTTATTAATATAGTGTAAACTTTTAAATTTATTAAATATATCATATTTGATTTTATCATTATAATCAAATTAAAGTTAATTAAA